CAAACACTGCCTCGTCTTCGGTCGATCTTCGCATTCCTCATCTACTCTTCTGGCGAGGGCTTTGACATCTGAATTCTGTCGTTCCAAGTGTATTACTATCACATATCGTCAATGAATGCACCGGCGTTATCGCCTGAGCCAATACCTCGGCACAATCAGAATCTGTCAGCAGCTGAAGAGCACGTGCGATGAGAAGCCAACGTGGCTCACCTGGGCGGCAAGAGCCGTGAGTGTACTGCGTGAAGTGTACGATGAGGAGCGCAAGGCAAGGGTTCGCGCCTCGCCTGTGATTTTGGTTTTACGACGGGCGAAGGGTTGCTGGCTGATCGGCGGTGCGCCTGGACGGCCGTCCGACAAGAGCAGAGAGTTTCTCGTTCGTGACTCTGTTCCTCGCTGTCGCATAGATGGACTGTATGTTGAAAGGTGGGTCGACGTCTGCAGTCTAGCTCAAAGGCAAGCGCGGCACATCACCAGAGCATGCTGACGCATGAAAATGTTCCCAGGTGAACGTCATCATTGCACACACAACAACGATTTGAATTTTGTCTCACCGATGAGAGACCCACATGCGTGCTAGAGGATAGAGTGTAGCAGCAAAGTCAGGTGAAAGTCGGCTGTCGCACAGAGGTCAAGAGGCTCAAATACAGCTGTCGTCCGCTCAGGGAAACAAGTAAGCTGTCGATTGTCTCAAAAGTCTTCTGTATTGCCGAGATTCCAAGGAGTTGTGGAGTGGAGCTGCCAACAAGTGAAGATCGGGCATCATTTCGCTCACGATCACGAGATCCTGAGAGTTGGGTATGCCTCGGGCTCTTTCCAATATTTGTGCACCTAATCAATCTCAGCAGAGGCCCTGTCCTCACCAGCACTAGGACTGATTTTGTAGGAGTCTTGTAAGCTCCTGGGATGTGTTGTTATGCGAATAGCAACTTTCAGTAGGACGAGTGTGACTGTGAAGGAACTTTTGATCGATTCTGCCTGCAAAAGTTGCCCCATCTTCTTTCACTTTATTGAACCTGGCCCTTCCATCTGCTCTCAGACTTTTGCAGCTGTCTTCTTCTTCTGAGCTTTTCCAGCCTTCTTTTCCGCCAAGTAAGCCTGCTCATCCGCCAATGCTTCCGCCTCTGTCATCTTCTTGTCCCCCACGTACCACCCACCGTCGATGGGCTTCCACAGAACATGAGGCTTGGTAGTGGTCGAGGTGTGCACTCGACCATCCGGCTGCATTTCCCTGATTGTCCGCACAGGTCCGTAGTTGGGGATCATGTGATCGTGGAAATGCTCCCGAGGGATTCCAGCCCCTGCTATCTTCTCATCGGGGTGAGCTTGTACTCGCCACTTGTCATCGTGCTCCGTTGTGTGATTCACGTGGATATCGTTGTGCGTGATCCTCTTGTCATCCTGAAGGAGCAGTGAATTGAGCTGCGTTGCATCGAAGTCTAGGCGCACACCAACCTGACTCACCCAATTTGCCGGCGTGACGGGTACGCGATTGTA